AAGCCATTCGGCAGGGGAATTATGAAATTGCGGAGACTTGGTTCGACCAAGTTGTTAATTATTGGAAATAGTCCGTTTGGGGAACGTCCAGTCCTAAGTCACTGAATGGGTAAGTCGCCAATCCCTAAAACGGACTACTAATCTAATATGAATTAAATAGAAATACTAATATAATAGAAAAAAAAAATGTCTTTTCGAACATTCGAGATTATGCAGGATTATACACGAAAGATCCTTTTTTGGCTCTCTCTCTTTAGCCCTATGTCTCTTATCCCTAGGAGGTCTTCTGTATGCATTTCGATTCGGGTCGTATTCTATGGTTACGATTCTACCATATATGTCTTWTTCATTCCGTCGAAAATCTATTTTACGGTATAGACGCTTATGACCTCCCCTTTATGCCCTGCGATAATGATTCCTCTGGCATTACGACCTTTACCACAATGATGTTGTCCATAGATCAAATTATTTCGTGGATTGGATTTCACTTGATTGTCTACGGTTCCACCGTTTTTCTTCTCTACCATGACGAATCAATTGATTTAATGTACGCATTGCTCTTTCTTTTGTCCTTCCCCCCGATTTTTGCCCTATCACTAGTGGTTACTCTCGATCCAAAGCACCCTTTTTCCATTCATAGGGAGATCCAATCGTCAAAATCAATAAAAAGGCCATCATGGACCAAGATCCAAAGGGATCAATCTTGTCTTGAATGCAATAACGAAACTTGCACAACAAGTTTCATGATGGAAGTGGAGAGTGATTTCTTAGAACACTTTGAAAAATAGATATTTGCTAAGGAAATTTATCTCGAGCCACAAAAGATGAAATCTAATGTATTGCAACGATGACAGATAAATTACAATCTTTACCAAAAAATTAGATAAACTTTTGAGAACCGAAAGTAAGAGAGAAGAAAAGATATAACACTTAAAATACTAGAGCTTGATTAATACCTGGAAATGTTAACAGTTTTAAGCTACCACAAATTCGGTTCTTGAAGAACAAAAGAAATCGAAAACTAGAACTTAAATAAAACTAGAGAGGATTATAAACCCAAAGTTAACGTATGAATTAAGCTTACAAAAGACTCTTAGGGGGTGTTTACTTTTGACTTAATCAGCTTAATGGTTGTTTTGGCTTATTCGCACAGCCATATATGGATGTTTACTTGCGGCTTAATGATAAATATGTTGGCTTATTCGCACAGTAGGGAAGGGGTGTGTTGTCCCCATTAAGCCAAAATATTGACAATTATACCCCTCATCCCACGCCTCCCTTTTCAATCCCACCCCCTCTTTCATTTCATAACCATAGACGAGAGATAGAGAGCAACAAATGGAGTGTGAGAGAGAAAACTAGATCGATGCAAAAGAGGTAGAGTTTCCAACTTCAGGGAAGGTTTTCCTGTTCGACGAGAGGGACTCTCATCGTCTTCTCCAACGATTTCAGGTCTGGGACTGGTTCGAGTCTCACCGTCTTCCCCGGAGCTTTTGGGAGCCATCGTCTTCTCCAACAGCTTTTGGGAGCCATCGTCTTCTCCAACAGGTTGGAGCCCATCGTCTTCCCYAGAGTTTTCATGCCTGGTTGGAGCCCATCGGCTTCTTCAACAGATTTTGGGAGCCCATTATCTTCCCCGGAGATTTCATGTCTGGTTGGAGCAAATCGTCTTCTCCAACAGATTTTACCACTTTACTATTTTGATCCAACAGATTTTAGGAAATCATCATCTGGGTTCCATAAGACAGGCCCCCATCGAGCATCTTTTTTGATCGAATCGGTTTTGGATTTTTGGTTTGATGAACAGCAGATTTTTGGTTTGAGTTTGAGGGGTAGATTGGTCATTATTGTCATTTAGACGATTGATTCAGGTAAAAAAGTAAACAACAATAAACTTTTATCTAGACAGACAAATTTATCCATACAGAACTTAATGGAAATTTTGGTAAACATGCCCTTATTTATAATACTAGAAAGAGTATGTATTAAACTTAAAGAGTACAAAAGTCATGATGATGTAAGCCCTCTTTTTGGTCCCAAGTGTCCAAAAGATGAGAAAAATAGGCTGGCCCAAAAGGTTTGGCCTGCAACAAGTCCTTCAGAAATTCTATAGCATGAGGATGATCCTATATCACTATGGATGTTTATGGGTTGGGTTGATCGGGTTGAAGACATTTGAACAATCCAACCCAAAGCTTTCGGTTTGGAAAAATCTTAACCCAACCCAACCCAAACCAAAGTGCAACCCAACCCAACCCAACTCGTACGGGTTGGTCGGGTTGATACTTTGGTATATTAAAATATTCTTCTAACCTTGAATATGTTATTTATCTACTCATAATTTCTTTTTCATCATCAATCATTTTATACAACTTATCCATATTTCTTACGTATATCACATTCAGTTAATTTTCTCAATTTACATATATATGTTCATAGTTACTGAACATATATATGAATGAGTTATATAGAGATATGAATATATTGAAAATATGTGTATATGAAAAGCATACATGATAGTGTAATTGTCTAATATATATATTAATAGAAATTCAACAATCATATTAAATCCAAGAAATAAAAGGATATCAGGTTCATCGAGTTGGGTTGGGTTGAGTTTAAATAATAGTAACCCAATATCAATCCAATACCTACGGTTTGACAATTTTACAACTCGATTAGACATCGGGTTGCTTCGAGTTAGGTTATTTCGCGTTGGGTTGAGTTGATCGGGTTAATCGGGTTTTTGAGCACCCCTATTAATGTTGCAGTACTGGTACAAAAACTTCAAAATCTACATTAAAGCTTAAATTAGTACTAATTTATGATGAAACTCTATTAAATCATTACAAATTATATAAAAGATAGATATACTAAAATATATACTCAAAAGATGAAATTGGATAAATAAAGTAAAAGCAAAAAATAAATAAATAGTGTAACAGAGTTAATAAATGAACACATATCACTTATTATATTGCATAAATACATGACTAATATACTTTAGTTTAAAAAAAAACTATCTTCATATTTGGAAGGCTACCTTGCAGATCGGTATTGGATGAGATGAGAATAAACCTTCATTCTGCACTTTGTCCATGATGTGAACTGTCGATACAAACGGTGGATCACGCTTTAGTAAATTGTCGATCAGGAAGTCGTAAAATGTGACAAAAAGTTTCCAAGCGGTGGAACACATATGCAGGTGAGATTTCAAATGTAAGAGACCTGTTAAACAAAGAGGAGCATACGGGTGAAAATTTTGAGCGGTCACGCCTGTGGACAACAGTAATGTGGTCAGTTTTATATCTGATTTGGTCCATTGAAATAATCTAGTTTTCAAGAAGGACAAAAGAAAGTTGTCGAATACGTTGTTTAAATTCCAATTGAGAAGTTTCAAATGGATTGCTAGAAGGGTCCAGAGTAAGTTAGATTGGGTTTCATGGTTTTCTTCTCCAAATGCTTGGCCACACTAAAGCTGCGCCTTTTGTGCTCGCAAGGTTTAAGTGCGTTTGAAGGTTCTATGCAGTAGGTTCCTTTCTCTGTTTTTGGTTGTAAAGGGGAGGGCTTAAAGGTTTCTTTGTATGCTATAAGTGATTTTTGCGGGTTTACACCTTGCAAATTCTGCATTTTGTATCCGTTGGTTTTTTGTTCTTGTAGCTTGTATTGGTGGTTTAATGGTAATAGCTTTGGTTAGTTGCTTTAAAAAAAATAGAGAGAATTGTTTTGTAAATACTAGAAGAGGAATCATGCAATGCAGCGAGATACATCTTTATTTTAATGTTTCGTTTTATTTTTTTGTCTCTGTTGATATAGTACGATTTATGTGGTTTTCATAAAGATAACGTTTTTACTTTTGAATAAAAATATACTTGAATATATCATAAAAAATTGAAAAAAATATATCAATATTAATATCAAATTAACTATTTAAAAGCTCTCTTTTTTTGTACAATTTCTTTAATTCAAATTTTTATTAAAATTTAACTTAAGTTTAATAGAAAGTAATTTATTTTTGGCTTAACAATATAATTTATATAAAGATAGTGATTATGTTAGTATTCAATGATTATCCTAATTATAGTTTAAATTTTTTATATCTATACTATATTAGAGAGCATTTGACAAGTAAATTGTGCGTAAGTACAACTTATTAAAGCTTTTGTTTGAATTTGTATAACTAACTGCAGATAAATATAATCAAATAGAGGATACACATCTTATTTTAAAATATAAAAAATTTGAAACATAATTAGAATAATTATTTATTATTTTTATAAAAAATTATATTCTTAGACCAAATATAAATAAACTTAAATTAAATTATAATAAAAAATTAAATTAAAAAATTACACAAAAAATGAGAAATTTTAAGTAGTTAATTTGATACCAATATCGATATATTTTTGTCAAATTTTTATGATATTTTCAAATTTATATTTTATTCAAAAATAAAACATTATCTTTTTTTTTTCAAAATCACATCAGACTACATTATAACATCGACTGAGATAAAAAAATAAAACAAAATATTAAAATCAAAATGTATCTCGATGCATTGTGCGAGTACCATTCTAGTTTAAAATAAGATGTTTATTTTGTATTTGATTATGTTTATCTCTAGTTATTATATGAATTGAAAATGAAGCTTTAATAAGTTATACTTACATACAATTTATTTGTAATCTTAAAATTTAAGTAATATGTATTAGTAAACAGTACTTCATGTATAAAAAATTATTTTTAAAAGTTTTTGTCAAAAACTTTATAATATAATGTAGATAAAAAACCAGGTATATAATTTACTCTTATTTTTCGACAAAAATAGAAATATGTTGGACTAAAATTTTGTCAAATGCAAAAACGAATTTCGTTTACTTTATAGACTTGATGACAACTGTCGCCACTTTTGACTAAAATTCATTAAAATTGGTGGGTTTATCCAAAAAGCGAAAATATAAAAATAAAGACACGTACTACCGACTATCGAGATACCTAGACCGTAGAGCAAGAGGTGTTGCAGTTGCAGTGGCAATGGCAATGGCAATGGCGATGAAGCTACGTTTCCTCCCCAGCTATGAGCATCGTTTTATGAGTACACCACCACCATCATCAAAACCATGGTGTTTTTCTCCGACGAAGTTAATGATCAAAATCAAAAGTCAAACTCAGAGCTTACAATTCAAAGCTTCATCCAAGAAAAACCGACGTCCGGAGAACGTCGATGGAGAGTTCTTCGTTGGTTTGTAGTTTCATTCTATCTCCTAAACAAAAAGCTACAATTGTGTTTGATGTTATTAAATCCAGTGATCGGGAACTACAAGAACTATATGGCGTTTCGTTGGAATTAATACCAAACCTAATTTTAGTTATTCCTAGAAGATTTAACGTAGCTATCAAAATTTCTAAAAAGGTTCAAAATAGATATCGGATTGGAATCGGAAAATATCCGTTTGACATTCAAAATCTAAGTGCAGATTAGCTATTTGTCTCTACTTGAGTGACTTCTTTTATGGCGGTGTTCATAGATAATGGAACACGATAGATCAACACAGTTCAATTAAGGCATGTAACCCTTAATAAATGCCAGATTAGAACAATTCTTTGAATACGAATGGTAATGAAACTACCCCAATCTTGGAGTGTTTATCTTCATAAACTGCATTTATTGAATTGAATTTATCCAATCATCGATTAGTATTTTTTTTATTTATGACCAAAAACTAACATGAACAATAATTTGGAACAGAACAATACTATCTTTTCTACTTTGATGTTATAGGCATTAGTTAAGATGTTAACAAGAAAGATTACTGGTTTGATACCTTTTTCAATTTGCAGATCATACATGCATTGATTGTGATACCTGTCGATGGATGGCCCCGGTAATTACTTCCACTTCATTTTTAAATAACCTTTGTGATTTATTACAACTATTCCTGTATAACATTTAGTTGTGATTGATATTTTTGCCAAACCATTAATCTAATAGATTTGTTAATGCTTATGCTTTCAAAGTTATGAGGAAGATCTTAAGAGCTCATTAATGACAAACTTCATGTCCCTGTGTTCAAATGCCACTTATGTATTGGAAGTGGTCTTATGTGTACCTAACCCGGATCAGTACTGAAGTATAGTTGTTCTAATGCAGTTCCAAAAATATTTGCAGAACTGATTTTTTGGTCCTCATTTTCATCATCATTTTTTGGTATACTGATATATAATCATCACAAGCAATTAATTCCTATCAACCTAAGTTCAAAATTGCTCTTGCTATTTCAGCGAATTAAATTCTAAGATGTGGCTGATATGAATGTAGCGTAGGAAAACTTGATAGACTTTGTGATGAGATCAGGATGATGAATATTGTGACTCATTCAAGGTTTTAAACCTACAAATCAATCAGGTTTGTCCTTTCTTGTAGTGTTATTCTAGTTCTATGCTTGGGCTTCATTGTAGTAGGGCCTAGCCACCTAGGTAGCGTTGAGAGACAATTATCATACACTTTTTTTTTGAAGTATATAATATTTATATACGGCAAATGCAACAAATAAACTCACACACCCTCCTCACCTATGGTGAGGTTTGAACCCTTGACCTCCTAGAAGGCCAAGGGCTACGATACCGCTAGGCCAAAGGCCCTTTGGTCAATTATCATACACTTACCATGAAGTGAGAATCCTTAATTGTCTATAGGTACTTCCATGACAATAAATGATCATATGTGTCAAGGTATTCTTCATTGAAGGAGATACAGGTGACTGCTACATTGTTAATTTGCTGGAACTTCAGATAAAAACACCATTGCTCGGTTCGGGAACGTAACTTCTTTAAAATGCTAAAACATCACAGACTCCCTTATTTTCAACTTATATTTCGGGAAATATGTCTGTCATCCATACACCCATCTTTTACCACTCCTCCACACTATGATAACGGACCATCATGTACCATAGTTGGTCACTGTTATACCGTTTGGTTTTATCGTTGTTTCGATCTTAAGTGACTTTTCCCAATATGAGTGTGTTTTGTGGGTTTGTTACCAATTGTTGCAAAGGGTACAAGATCCTTTCATTACGCACGGTTCCGTGAAGGCTGCATTTTGCAAATGACTTTGTTTGGAGAACGGGGAATTTTTAAGCTACCTGATTCAAATTTGGAATCATACAGTGGTAATCTATCTGGATTTAAACTTTGAAGTATGAAGGTGGTAAAGAAATGGGTGCTTCACTCTCTGCTTCAAGCATGGTAAGCAGGGGTGAGATACAGTCAGGTTGTTGTGTTGAAGAAGAGGTTGTATACAAATGGCATGGTTGATATGTTGAAGGAGATGATGCAAAATCCCAAATGAAAGTCCCGAAGACTTGCTTAAAAGGATGGGATTGATTTTTCAAATCAAAAGAAAATGGTAGGTCTAGGATCTCTTGATGGCAAGAAAGGTATTTTACAAGCTTTTAGCAGTCATCAAAGAGTTATCAGTTCTGATCAGGAGTATTTTCTAACCCAAAAATGGTTGGTGTCTCATGTCTGCACTTGTTGTGAGCTTGTATATTTGTAAGTCAAATAAGCTTGGAGGTAGATTTATCACACTGGTGAAGTCACAAAAAAAAACTTGGATTAAAAAGAAACTGTTAAGAATGTCTAAAATGTGGGAGTGAATTCTTTTTTCCAATGCAATTAAATATCAACCCCGTGTAAGTCCACCCACATTGGATTTGTATTCTTATGTGGTTCTTATTATGAGATATACCTCCTTAATAGAAGCACTGGATGAAGTTTGGACAAAGGAACTAGCCATGAGGACAGTAGTTTGACTGAAACTTTCATCATCTGACCTCCCAATTCTATTTTCATGTTGGTTACGTTTTCAACTAAGAGATTCTGGTGCCAAATAAGGTTGATTGTTATAAACAACTTCATAAGGAGACTTTATTCCATAATTGGTTCCTTGTCTATTTTCTAAGTTTGCATGGCTGCCTTAATAATTTAACATCCTGGCCACATGAAAGTGGTATAGGTTCTTCATGTCACCTAAGTTCAAGATTGGGTATGATTACATAATGTTCGTAGTAGCTATTTGATTCATTCCTTCCCAGGAGAAAAGAACAAGGTTTAAAGTTTCATTTTCGTAGAAGTAAATTTTTTCTTCCATATCTTTCAACCAACTTTGATGAGAAGAAATATATCTAAAGTAATAATTTGGATTTAGAAAAAGTGTGACGTCAAGCAAGATCATGTTCAGAGCTAGAAGCTTAAAAATTCAACGAAGCTACATTACTTGTGGCTAGCTTTTTCGTGTTAGGGTTGTATATATTGTTTTTCTGCATTTTTTAATGTTTAAAATAGTGGAAGATGATGGTGAACAGTTGATGATATTGATGATTACTGATTTGAAATTTCAGGAAGTTTTCACTCGTGTTGATGGCATGTCTGTTGTTTCAAAGCAGCCAAGTTGTCAAGATGAACACCTTAAGGCTCTTCAGGTATTGTCATATAACAGTTTCCAAGTGACATATTGAGATGAACTTTTGCTATACACTTTTTCTGGAGTTAGGTAAGGAAGGAAGGATGTGTTGACTACATGATTCTAGAAATATTCTTTTCTATTCTGTTTGCAGGCTTTACTTTCATGTCCAACGAGCTCAATTCATACGGAGAAACCTGCTCACAATATTTTAGAAGTTCAAAAAACATTTCCGATACCCATTGATGTGGAGAGAATTCCGGTAATTCATTCAACCTATCACTGCTCATCAACAGTTCTGTTGAATTGCACCACCATTTCTTGGATATAACAACCTTCACATTTTGTTTTATAGTTGGTTGAAAAGCTACTTGCTTGGTATATAAAGTCAATGGATGATTAAAAAAATTAAACATCTACATAAAAAAGTGATGTCATTCTAACAGTTTCTACTACCATGAAACCAACTGTTGGCTATAAAATTATTGAAATATTAGAAGTCTGTTTCACTATTGGGAATGCATGATAAACAAACCAAACAAACCCAACATATCCCACTCGAAGGTAGGGCCAGGGTTTGGAATGCATGATGTGTACATTTAATGAACTATTAGCAAAAAAAATGCATGCTGTAACTTTGCATCCTCTATGATATGCTTGCAGTGTGTCTAGATGAATCGTAAGGATGATAAAATGAAAAGTCATCTAGTCTATGGGAACATGATTACACCTCTAATCGAACATGAGGGTGCCCAAAATTACCATACATAAAGCTTCCTCGGTACTATACAAGGCTCTTCCATACGAACACCAGTCTGTTGTCTGCTGAAGCTTTGAAACAATATATACAGTTTTCAGTTGGCAATGTCACATGTCTCACCATTCCAGTGTAGTAGTAGAACCTACATACGATCTGAAATACCTTTGTTGTTGACTCTTATATGCATTTCCATGCTTTAGCATCAGTTGAATATGATGCTCAATGGCAGATGAGGCATACCAGAAAAGTTACTCTTTCTATGTGGTGGAATCAACTTTTCTTGCCATATTAGCGTTCATGATTCTTTTGCTTACGACATAAATATCTCATAGCTTAAGCATGAAAGCCTTTCTATCTGATGATTTCTGTAAGTATTGTCATTACTGTAAGTGAATCTTATGCCGAATAAAATGGGTATCAAGAATATATGCTTCTGTAGTTGGCCTTAATTTTTTTGTTCCTATGATATGATGTTGGTATCCTTGACCATTTATGTATTTGTTTGTGCTGTTAATGCTCACTTCCAATAAATGCGTATTTCTAGGGGGTGTATCATTGTGGTTATCACTCAGAGAAATCATATGGAGCAGCATCCTATTTGATTGTTCATCCTGAAGGGAACATTCTTATTGACAGGTCTTTTAACCATTCAAGCTTTTATAAATAAGGAATCTGAATTTCAAAGCAATTGGTTTATCATAGTATTTTGCAGTCCTAGGTACACAGAAAGGCTGGCTTGCAACATCGAGAATATGGGTGGAGCTCGATACATGTTTCTCACACACAGGTATGATAATGTGGTTTGAGCACTGTTTTGACTCCTGGGGTATTATGAGCGACTATTGACATCTCTTTTGAATTAGGGATGATGTTGCAGATCACCAAAAGTGGTCAGAGCGGTTAAGTTGTGAAAGAATTCTTCACTCCACTGAAGTATGATGCCTTTGCTATTTCATATCTGTCTTTGCTTTCATGACATACTTCTAACTTCTATGAATTGCATATATGATCGTGGATGCCAATTGTACCTTTTCCTGTACCTCTCCTTGAAGTTTACATTCATATTTTTGTGTGTTTAGTGGACTGAATGATAAGAGTTCTCGAGTCAAGACCAGTATAATATAAACATATACATATTTCTCTGATATAGTAGACATGGTGCTGATTTGACATAATCTAACACTCTTTCTCTGAGCAATTGGTAGAGAAGAATCATCAGTAAGGGTGTCAAAATTCTTACCTTTGCAATGTGAGGTAAGTAGCTCCAGATCTTGTGATTTTGTTTTTGGAAAGAGGATGGTACCTTTGGCGACAATGATTCTTACAAAGATCTTGTGATTGATAGTTCGTGTGTTGCACATTGTCTTGTAATTAATCAACAGTCTTCCTTTTTGAAGTATAGACGATGGGAATACAAGAATCAACTGTGCTTATACCCTCCACAATATGACATGGCTTTGGGTAAAAACAGACACATTTGAGTGAGGATTGTAGAATGTTGATCCATCACAATGTTCCTCATTGGTTTTGAAATGATGCAGTTGACTACTAGTCCCATAAATCAATCATAAGCCATCTAACTGTTTTAAAATGAGTTCTTTAATCAGTCGTAAGCTATCTAGTAATTTAAAATGGAACACCTTAAAGTGTCTTTTTTAAGTACATAATATTTATATATGGCAAATACTCACTCCTCACCTTTGGTAAGGTTTGAACCCTTCACCTCCTCGGAGGCTGGGATCTACCGGTAACCCAGGTACCGCTAGGTCAATGACCCCTTGGTAAGTGTCCTTTTCTTTACCACCATCCTTTTCCATGTTCTCTGTAAGATTTACTGTGGCATGGTCACATTTATGTTTCCATCTTGGCCTTAATCAAACATGGTGCTCGAACATACTATTGTAACTTTGCTGGGTCACAAATAGGGTTGTCTATGATATGGTTCTACCGTCTTGGAAGTGTTATTTTCTGCTGGTTTTGCTTCTCTTGAGTCGATCTTTCATTTTATGCTCAAATCTAGTTGGGTAGAGAAGTGTTGATGTGTTTCATCTCGTCAATTGATTAGTAGATTTATAATATTCATACAATTCTTTATCGTCAGGTAGAAGCTTCGACCAACAATGTAGAGACAAAGCTGAACGGATGTGGACCATGGAGTCTTAATGATGATATTCAGATTATACATACCCCAGGCCACACAGAAGTGCGTAGATAAGTTAACTTATTTCATTTTTTACCATACAAGTATCATGGATACATTCTTGATTAGGTAATTCATGGGTGATGCATATGACCATTCTCTATATCCTGGCTCGAAGTTGTTTCGGGTTCCTTTTATTCTGTCATCCAAAGTTTTCTACGAATAGAGTGAAATTTAGGGGAAAAGAATTTTAAACAACCAAATTCTAATTTGCTGATGCCTGATATGGAGAATGATTTTGCCTTTGATAGATAATTTCTAAAAGTAATGGTCCTGAGATAAGTTATATGTTTTCTGCACAATGTTGCAATAATAGGCTTGTCTTCATAAACAATTGATGTTCTATTTTCGTTGTTGATGGAATGGCAGGGGTCGGTCTGCTTGCTTTACAAGCCCTTAAAAGTGCTTTTCACGGGAGATCATCTGGCAATTGGGGAATCTGGGCTGGACATTTTTGTGCAGTACAATTTTTGTTCAGGTATAGTCAAGTTTTAATATTAAGAGTGCCATATCGGCTAGACTTGGACCATTTCTCCCCAATATGTTTGGAACAACCTGTCTCTCTTCAAGGGCTCTTTTGGAGCGTACTATATTGGGGTTACATATATTTTCACATGGTATCAGAGTCAAGGTATACCACTATAGGAATTCAACAGTCGTCACTATGGGGTAAAGTTGATGTGTCTTACCCCCTTGGGACAATCTGTGCCCGTCTAGCCTTTGTCTGAGGGGGAGTGTTAGAGTTCCACGTCGGTTGGACTTGGACCATTTCTCCTCGATACATGTTGTAATCTTCTGTCTCTCCTTAAGGGTTCTTTTGAAGAGTAATCTGATAGAGTTCCACATTTTCTCACATGGTATTAGAGCCAACGTCTACCACCATAGGGACTCGACTATGGGGCAGTATGGACTCATCTATCCCACATCAGCTATACTTGGACCATCTTTCCTCTATGTATATTGGAACCTCTGGTCTCTCCTTAAAGGCTCTTTTGGAGAATAATCTAGTGGGGTTCCACATATATCCTCGCTTTCAAAACGACAAAAAAGTGCTTCAGTTTTGGTTTCTTGAATGTTTCCATATACTCTCTACATCATCCCAATGCTAGCTTCATTTTCTCTAAAATTTTGCTCTTAATGCTTCAACTCGTTGAGGTCATGTGTGGTGGAGATAGAAAGGGTAGCTACAACCACCACGATTACTAAAAGAGAGCTAGGAAAAGGAAATAAAAGAGGGAAGGCAACTGAAACACACAATTAATATTGAAGATATGATTTTTTCAGGCATTAACATTTTGAACTTCTAGACAAACGACGTGGAATAATATTGGGTTTCACCATGTAAAAAGCTATTCGGTTTAGTAATACACTTGTATCAGTACAATAACCAAAATTTACGATGATGTAAATGGCAGTTTCAGTTTTATTGCAACTTGAATGTGGTTACTCTCCTGGAGGTATCAGGGAACGACTAGAATAGAAGATAGATAGTTACATCTTGCAAGTGGTTTTATGACCACTGATCATGTGATAAATTCCTTTTGTTTTTTAATCCAATGTGTTTTGTCCAATTTGCAGTGTCTCAACAGTTGGATAGTGTCGCTATGTTGCTTGAGCTGGAGTTCGAGTGGATGATACCAGGTAGGTGTATTTTTTGTTTTTATATAGCAATTGATAATACTCATTTTAAAGAAAAAGAAAAGCAAAGTATATTTGGTTATCTTTTATGAGACATACGGCCAGGGCTCAACAAACCAAACTAGCCTAGTATATCACACTCGAAGGGGGAGGGGGGGTTTGGCGGGTCGGATGTATACAAACTCGACCTCTACTACAAAAGAGTAGAGTAATTGTTTTCATGAAAACCCCTAACTTTCGAAAAAGCATGTGAGAAAAAGAAAATTGAACCGAGAGTTTCACATACCCGTTCACCAAAGGCTTGGTTTAATCATACAGTTGTGCATCTTTTCATGGGAATGAAATAATCCCAGTATATCTCTACTCGAAAGTAGGGTCTGTTTCATGGGAATGAAACAATCCCAGTATATCTCTACTCGAAAGTAGGGTCTGGAAAGGGTGTGATGTATGCAGATATGACCTCCTCTACCTTAATGGGTAGTTGGGCTATATATATATATATATATATATACTTGAGATCATGTGAGACCAGACTGTTTTCGTGAGACCCGTGAAACCACCTTTTTACACTTGAAACTTCACAGTAAAATGCTGTGAAGGTGACTTTTTTTAACCTTCAAAGTGTTTTTGCTGTGAAGGTGACTTTTTTAACCTTCAAAGTGTTTTTGCTGTGAAGTTTTAAGTGTAAAAATGTGGTCTCACGGGTCTCACAAAAACAGACTGGTCTCACGTGAACCCAACTATATATATATATATATATGTATATATATATATGTATATATATATATATGTATATATATATATATGTATATATATATATATAGTTTTGGGGTATGAGAAAGGGGAACATAAGCTGAAGTGAAAATTTGATGACAGTTTTAACTTGTAAAAGAACAGAATATAAACTAATTCCATAGTTTAAAGGGAGAAAACTGATGGGGTTGGGTTAATACATGTTATTGGCAGGCCATGGAAGGAAAGCTGTATACAAGGATGTTGAAGAGAAGAACTCCAGCATAAAAGCTTTCTTGGCTGCTAAGCAGCATACTGGTTATTTCTAGTGTCTTCAAGAGATCAAGGAGGCCATGGGATGAAATAATTATATTCCCTTTGATATAATAATAAACCATACAAAACATATTCGGTAACTCCCACTCGAAAGTAAGATTTGAAAGAAGATATACGCAGAAATTTCCTTGATATTGATATGGTAAGTAAAAGGATTTTAAAGTCTAAGGGGTTGTTTACCGAACGCGTTCTAGATTAGAGTTTACAGGCGGGAGTCACAACCCTTCTTATTTTATCAGGTAACATTCTCAGCTATCAAAATAGATATTGGTAAACATCAAGCCCTTATAGGGTAAGAGTCATTTCCCTCATTTACCGAGTGAGATTCACTGTCCTTGCTATGCTTCTTACCGTGTAAGATCATCCCACGGTAAGGTGAGTAATCTCTTACCTGGTATGTGTTTATGTTTGAATAAGTAATGTATGAATCATGAGATAATTCACACATATATGCACGTAAGCTTACCATAAACAACCAAAAGACCTTTTGGCCTAGCAGTATCGTAGTCTTTGCCCTCTTAGGGGTTCAAACCTCACCAAAGATGAGGATGATGTGTGAGTTTGTTTATTGCATTTGTCGTATATGAATATTATATACTTAAAAAAAACATACCATAAACAGATTCCTATGTTTTGACTTCTGATTCACATAAGACATTGTGTTCGTGATGTAGAAAATGAAGTAAGAACACTTGCAATGATTATACACGCTAAAAAGAGTCATTGGAGTGGATCCATTTTTTTCTATTTTTCTGGTGGGTGTCTGAAATTACGAAATTCATTTAAGCATACATGATTATTGCTCGAATAGATAACATGAGAAGCTTGAAAATGTTGATTCCATGAAATTTGTTTATTTTAACTGAAATAAATGACGACAAGTTGAAGAAATATTTGAAGTCCAAACAAAGGTTTTTGGGTCTAAATTCTATGTGTATATTTATACGTGTTTGTAACTCATAACAGATCAAAATTTATAACCACTTAAAATTCGAACTCGTTTCATCGAGATATATTTATAGAACCTCCTAAAACTTATAATTTAATACAAGTTTTTAGGCCTTACGGAGGGATCAAAAGGTAAGAAAAGAATTTTTTTTAACATGATCCACAAATACAGGGACCAAATATGTGAATTAGTCTAAATACTAATAAAAATCCCCTTATGGCCATGGAAGTTCAAATGCGGTGACTCCAGGCTATTTGCAAAGCAGGTGGTTGTCCTGTGATTAGTCGGTTCGCATAGCGGGTTGGATATCAGTTAATTAAAAAAAAAAACTTAAATAAATTAATTCAAAAAGGAAACAACCTAAAATGAAAAGAATCATCATCAATTTACTACAATTTTTTCCGAAAAAATTAGGATACAGATTTAATCAAACTTGTAAGTTATAAACATAAATCGAAATTAAACCGTATCTTACATTAAACACATAAATCGAAACCTAAACCGTATCATAAACTAAAAACACAAATCAAATCCTACCTTAAAACCTAAATCAAACCCTAAAATTAAAAAAAAAACATAGATCAAACCCTAAATTAAAAACAAAGATGAAAAAAAAATGAACATAAAGAATTGTCAGAACCGACGATGCAATCAAGATAAGAAGAGCATTAACATGTATGGAGTTAGAAGCGTATATGGCTGTATTAAGAGGGTGAATTTATTTTTTTTAGAAACAACAACTTTATTAAGGACCATCGAAGGCTAGCAAGAGACTAGCACTTACAACAAAGCCGATAAAGGGTTGATACACCAAGCATTCCAATCAAGATTATTACAAGACTTCGATCTAATTCTAATCCATTTATACAAAAAAAACACGATCTTCTTGAAAATCACCACCGGGCTTTTTGGATGTTTGTGTTAAAAAAGGAAAATATTATGATTGAGGAATTCATGGGATCATCCAATGATCAGCATCTTTTCCCAGAATTCAGTGATCAATCAACGATCTTTTCTCCTCCTTTACAGCTCCTTGACAGCCCTGTATTTCCTTTTTATTTATCTGTTGTAGTGCCTATAAAAAGGGCCTTTCTTTTCATTGTAAAATACAGAAAATCAATACAAGTTACAGCCCTCTAATTATCAATGTTAACAATTTGTTGAAAACCAGCGCATTGCGATTCGTCCATAACACCCAAATGAGCGCCATGAGAATTACTTCCAACCCCTCCTTCACCCTCTTCTCTTTGAAAGGAAATTGCGTCCCAGATACCTATATTGTGGATCATGCAGGTGGTGGCTGCAAGACCTTAGACAAGGGACGAGGGGAGTTCAACGATGGTGATGACATTGTCTGAGTTGGGTCATCATCGAACATTGGTCGCCAAATCTTTTGTTTGAAGGGAAGAAATCAGGCTTTAATTTCACGCTCTTCCTAAGGGAGAATTAGGGAAATCCTAAGGTTATTTTTGTTTTCTAAACGAACATTTTATCTTTACATACAACAAAAAGATATAATAATAGCCACACGATGTACCAAATTTCTGAACAAAATGCTAACATGGAGACGTCTATTATAACAAATGAACATAAAAGACTAAGGGGCCGTTTACCCAAATGCTTACCAGTAAGCGCTTACTGATAGGAGTTAACGCTATAATTTAATTTTGATGTGTAAGATTTTAGTATATTAAAACATATCGAATGCAACAAGTTACTGGGTAAGCACTTACCTGGGTAAGAGTCGCTATCCTCACTTACCGGGTAAGCCTCTCCATCTTTCTCATCGCTTTTACCCGGTAATTTTTTTTGCCTCTCTCATGTTCATCCGATGAGGAAATTTCTCCGATAAACATTTACCAAATAAGTGTTTAATAAAGAGCCCTAAATCCGTGATATTCAGGGTCGTCCCTGGGGGAGGGCGGTACGCCCAGGGCCCAAAAATATCAAGGGCCCAAAATTTTCTTCTTAAATACAATAGTAGTATAAAAGAATTTAATAAATTAAAGAAACACAAAAAATTGTAGCATATAATAAGAGACAAAAAAGAATTTAGTAGATAATAAAGGCCCAAAAATATATCAACTAATTACATTAAAGAAGAAAATAAAAAAAATTAATTGGTCATTCATTATATGAATTGTTTATTGCCTCTCCAATTTTTTTGTATCTCTAACAAGGTCTAATGATATTGGCTATTGCTATTTTTATATGTTTGACTGTTTTTGTGCTTCAACAATTCAATATTAAGATCATATGCTTGCTATTGTTTATATATTTTTGTTGGATATTTTTATCAATTTCTGCTTCTATTGTCTATTTTTATTTGGTTATCTTGTTCTAATTGTTTTTGTTGACTATTGTTATTTATTTTTGCTTCTACATAAAATATTTTACTATTGCTCTCATTTAAGTGCTCAAACAATCATTTATTGAGCTTGCGTATTATATGTTTAATTAATTATTTATTTTTATTAGATCTCAATGGATCATCTTTTCTTTCATATTCTTATTGATCATCATTTGTTTACTTGTCTAGAAAATCTTGATAACCTTCTTTATTATTGATCTCATTGACCCTCATGATTGCTTCATTCACACGAATTCTTTTTGTATCAAAATAACACATATTTATTGTTATTAAGACTTCTTTCCTCAGTAAATTATTATCATTTCTTGTACTCAATTTTATACTAATGAAATATATTTATTGAATTTTTTTCCGTACTTAGTGAGGGTTAGTACAAGAAAAATGAGCTTTGACGATGCATCTTTTAGGAATGACATGTTTCCGTCACAAGTTATAGCGACGACATGTTGTTATATACTATTTTTGATGATAAATTGACTTTTAACGACGACAAAAGTCGTTGCCTTGTTTCTTGTAGTGGATCCTGTTTTTACGTTCGTCCAAAACCTATAAAATGTCAGGAACGGATCTGATGATATTTCATCCACCACGAAGACAACTCTATAATTTTCGACAAGAATTTAAAACATGTGAAACGATGTTAGATGCGAAAACGAATTTCGTTTACTTTATACACTTGACGACAAATCTCATGTTTGACTAAAATTTAGAATATATTTGACTAAAAATGCATTGAAATTCTTGATTTTGTCAAACAGCGAAAACAAAAATAGAACTGAAGACACGTACTACCAAGATCTAGCACGTAACCGGAGAGCAAGAGGTGCTGCAATGGCAATGGCATCGAAGCTATGTTTCCTTTCGAATTATGAGCATCGTCTTATGAGTGCTTCACCATCATCAAAATCATGGCGGTTTTCTCCGATGAAGGTAATGATCAAAATCAAAAGTCAAACTCAGAGTTTACAACTGAAAGCTTCATCGAAGAAGAAGCGACGTCCGGAGAACGTTGATGGAGAGTTCTTCGTTGGTTTGTAGTTTCATTCTATCTCTTAAACGAATAGCTACAGTTGTTTTTGATGTTAAACCTAGTGATCGGGAACTAAAAAAACTATATGGCGTTTCGTTGCAATTAATACTAAACATATTTTTAGTTATTCCTAGAAGATTTGACGTAGCTATCAAAATCCTTAAAAATGTTCAAACTAGATATCAGATTCGAAGTGCAGATTAGCTATTTGGCTACTTAAGTGACTTCTTTTCAGATTAGAACATTTCCAGAGTTGAGTTTTTGCTCACTGATTTTAAGTTTCTCTTGGTGGAGCCATATCTTTGGTCTATTTGGTCTATTTATGGTGCTAGGGTTGGAGATGCTCTAATGGCTTTTTGGTCAGTGCTACTCACGCTGTGTATTTATGTAGGCATTGGCATTACTTTATTAGCAAACCACAAGATACATCATTATTACAATAATACCCCATCCGGCCATCCCAAAATAATTTGGAACAGAGCATTAATATCTTTTCTACTTTGATGTTGAAGGCATTGCTGAGGTGTTAACAAGAAAGATTACTAGTTTGATACCTTCTCTAATTTGCAGATCATACGTGCATTGATTGTGATACCTGTCGTTGGATGGCCCCGGTAATTACTTTCATTTAGTTGTTAAATAACGTTTGCGATTTACTACAACTATTTCTGTATGATATTGAATTGATGCAAGTATTATTTTTTTGCCAAACTATTGTCACTCCTGCTTTTTCTGCAAATTAAATTCAAAAAGCATGTGACTGATATGAATGTAGGGTAGGATAACTTGATAAATTTTGGGATGATATCAGGAGGATGAATATTTTTGACTTATTTAAGGTTTTATATCTACATAGGTGATCAGTTTGTCCTTGCTTGTAGTATTCTTCTCCCAGTTCTATCCTTGGGCTTCATTGTTGTTGGGCCCTAGGTAGAGTTGACAGACAATTATTATACACTTGCCATGAAGTGAGAAGCCATAATCGTTTGCAGGTTCCGTGACAGTTGATGATCATACGTGTCAAGGTGTTCTTAATTGAAGGAAATACTTTAGCTGCTAGATTGTTAATTTACTGCAACTTCAGGAAAAAAACCTCATTGCTCAATTCGGAAACATCACTTCTTTAAAATGCTAAAATCGTCACAGAATCCCTATTATTCAACTTATATTTTGGGACAATCTGGCTGTCATCCATACACCCATCTACCACCAGTCCACTTACCACTCATCCGCACCATGATACAGACCATCATGAACCATAATCGGTCACTGTTATACCATTTTGGGTTTTCTTGTTTTTTTTCTGTCTAAAGTGAGCTTTCCCAACATGAGTGTGTTTCATGGATTTGTTAGCAATTGTTCCACAAAGATAGTTATCTTCCATCTATGGGTACACAATCCTTTGGTCAATGGTTCCGCCATGGCTGCATTTTGCAAATGCATTTGTTTGGAGAAGGTGGCAAAGAAATGGGTGTTTCACTCTTTCCTTCAAGCATGGTAAAAGCACTAGCAGGGGTGAGATACAATAAGGTTGTTGTGTTGAAGATGGGTTCTATACCGATGTCATGGTTGATATGTTGGGAGGAAGATGGTGCAACCACAAATGAAATTCTGAAGACTTGCTTAAAAATGGGATTGATTTTGCAAACCAAAAGAAAATGGTAGTTGTAGGATCTCTTGATGACAAGCTTTTAGCAGTCCATGAAAGAGTAATAGCGTCCGATCAGGATTATATTCTAACCCAAAAATGGTTAGTATCTGGTCCCATGATTGAGCAAGTGGCACGTGTGGTCACGCTTTTATGTTTGTAAGTCAATTAGTCAAATAAGTTTGGAGCTAGAATTATCAAACTGGCGATGTCACAAAAAAATACTTGGACTGGAAAAGGAACAGTTGGATTGTCTCAAATGTTGTTTGGGGGGTGAATTCTTCTACCAATGCAAGTAACAGTCAACCCTCTGTAAGTCCACCCACACACATTGGATTTGTATTCTTATGTGGTTCCTATTATGGGAATAATTACCTCCTTAACATTGGATGAAGGGACTAGTCTAGAGGACTGTAGTTTGATTGATGCTTTCATCAACTAACCTCCCAAGTTCTATTTTCATGTTGGTTGAGGAAACAACTATTGTAGGCAAAAATCGGGTACTTCTTGTGCAGATTGAAACGACGTCATAAAGAGACTTTGTTCTAGGGTCGGTTGCTTGTCTATTTTCTAAATTGCATGCTCACCTTAACATCCTGGCCACACAAAGTAGTAAAGGTTCTTTTTTTTTTTTTTTTTTGTAAGGGTGTCCGGGCCAAAGCCCGACTAATACCCGGACAAATTTAAAGGCTAAACATGGCCCCACTTAAATGTCGCCAACACTCNTTTTTTTTTTTTTTTTTTTTTGTAAGGGTGTCCGGGCCAAAGCCCGACTAATCCCCGGCAAATTTTGGAGGTTAAACATGGCCCCACTTAAATGTCGCCAACACTCCCCTCCCAGGGCTCGAACTTGGGTTCATGACTATGCCATGCCCAAGCCTTTACCACTAGGCTGGAAGGTTCGTGTCACCTAAGTTCAAAATTTGGGTATGATTATATAATTTTAGTGGTAGCTGTTTGATTCATTCCTTCCTAGGAGAAAGAACAAGATCCAAAGTCTCCTTGTTGTAAAAGTAGGCAAAGTTTCTTCCATACCTAACATGCATCAATGAGATGATAAATATCTAAAGTAGATATTTGGATTTAAAAAGAGCATGACTTCCAAGATCATGTTCAGAGATAGAAGTGTTAAAATTTCAATGAATCCACATTACCTATAGCTAGCTTTCGTGTATGGGGGTTGCATATATTGTTTTAAAGTTTTCTGCATTTTAATGTTTAAAATAGTAGAAGATGATGGTAAACAGTTTGCTCATATTGATAATTACTGATTTGAAAATTCAGGAAGTCTTCACCCGTGTTGATGGCATGTCTGCTGTTTCAAAGCAGCCAAGCTGTCAAGATGAACGCCTAAAGGCTCTTCAGGTATTGTGTCATATAACAGTTTTCAAGTGATATATTGAGATGAAGAATGTGTTGACAAATATTTTCCAGATCCAGTGAATCGTTCACACCCCATTTTGCATATAAGACGTAAAGTTATTATTTATTACTTAGTGAGGGATGCAAGTGATACAAACCTGTGACTAAACACAGAGAATATAAGTAGATTCGTGTTTAGTGTATACTCCCTCCAGAAAATTGTTGTCCTTGTGAGTTGACATGATTATTAAAGAAAATCCATTGACCTAAGTAAGTGATTATCAAATAGAAGACTTCACAACTTCACTCTTATTCACGAAGAAACAAATACCAAAATTAGCATACTTGCAAGGGATTTATTAAACATAAATTTGGGTTATCATCACCTCTGCTCTTAAAAATTTCACCTAGTGTGATACTGGGGAAAAATATGTTCATAAATCTATATATTTGGGATGGGCGCATTTAGGATGACAATATGTTGAACTATCAGATGACATCTTTATAATAATGTAACGTCGTCTCTTGTTGGATCAAGCTCATGCTATGGAATTGTATGTACCCTTCAATTTTGAAGATTTTGGTATCTACAATGATTGTAGAAACATTCTTTTTCTATTCTGTTTGCAGGCTCTCCTTTCATGTCCAACCAGCTCAATCTCTACTGAGAAACCTGCTCATGATATCTTAGAAGTTCAAAAGACATTTCCAATACCTATTGACGTGGAGAGAATTCCGGTAATCTATTCAATGGTCCAACCTGTCAGTGTTCATCAATGTATTTGTGTTAAACCGCGCCGCCATTTCTTGGATATAACACTCTTTTTGTTTTATAGCTGGTTGAAAAACTACTTGCTTGGTATATGAAGTCAATGGATGCATATCAATTAAAAGGCTGTCACAGAAAAGTGATATTCACTCTAAGTGTTTCTAATACGAGAAAACCAACTGTTGGCTCAAAAAATATTGGAATGCTAGAAGTCTATTTGCAAATTGCAATGCATGATAAACAAACCAAAGGAACCTGACATAGCTTGCTTGGAGATCGGGTCTGGGGCTGGAATGCTTGCTGGTTGAATTAACTTTTATTTCCGTATTAGTGTTCATTATTCTTTTGCTTGCTGCATAATGATCTCATAGCTTAAGCATGAGAGCCTTTCTATCTGATAATTACCGAGTTTTGTCATTACTTTAAGTGAATCTTGTGCTGAATAAAATAGGTATGAAGAAGATATGCTCCTGTAGTTTGCCTTATAAGTTTAGTTTGCCTATGATATGATGCTAGTACCCCTGACCATTTATATATTTGTTTGTGCTGTTAATGCTCACCTCCAATTGATGCATATTTCTAGGGGGTGTATCATTGTGGTTATCACTCTGATAAATCATATGGAGCAACATCCTATTTGATTGTTCATCCTGAAGGGAACATTCTTATTGACAGGTCTTTTAACCATTCAAGTTCTTATAAATGAGAAATGTTGATTTCAAAGCAACTTTACTCAAAGTAATTGGTTTATCATAATATTTTGCAGTCCGAGGTACACAGAAAGGCTGGCTTGCAACATCGAGAAGATGGGTGGAGCTCGATACATGTTTCTCACACACAGGTATGATAATGTGATTTAAGCACTGTTTTGACTCCTGCGGTATTATGAGCGACTACTGACATCTCTTTTGAATTAGGGATGATGTTGCAGATCATCAAAAGTGGTCAGAGCGGTTAAATTGTGAAAGAATTCTTCACTCCACTGAAGTATGACGACTTTGCTATTTCATATCTGTCTTTGCTTTCATGACATCCTTCTAACTTCTATGAACTGCATATATGATCGTGGATGCCAATTGTACTTTTTCCTGTACCTCTCCTTGAAGTTTACATTCATATTTTTGTGTGTTTAGTGGACTGAATGATAAGAGCTTTCGGTTCATGCCAGTATAATATATAAACATAGATATGTGTCTGGTATAGTAGACACGGTGCTGCTTTCACAACTTATAGGATGCATGGTATGTCTATGTTTTTTATAGTATTGTATTGGGTTTTGTTTTTGGCCCTTTTGCTAATCTAGTTGTAGATTTTTAAAAGGAGAATGATTCCCCTCTTATGATCCATTGATACAAACCCCCCCATCAATTTGGGTTGTATATAATTCTGAAGAGTTAGTCTCATTTATTGTACATATATATAATTCTACACCCCCCATCAATTTGGGTTGTATATAAGCACAAGGGTTGTGGCGTAGTGGTTGAGGCCCAAGGGGATGTGGTGGAATATCCCATCTATCCCAGGTTTGATTTCAGGCGTCCAGAACAATTGTGGCCACTGAGTTTATCAGGGGCTGATATCTTATGCTCGCAGTTTGCCGGGATTAGTCTAGGCAAAGCCTGGGACACCCTTCCAAAAAAATTGGGCTGTATATGTTATACAAACCAAGTTTGGAGCTGAGTTCTTTGAAGTTGATTCTTGGAAGAACCTTGGTCAGGATGTCCACAATTTGTAAGTGTGAGGGAACATAACTTAATTCTACCGGTCGATTGTCGTGATAGACTGGATTCTTTGCAATACTAATGGTGGCTTGATTCTCGCTAAACATTGTTACAGATCCCTTCAACTTCAATCTTGAATCTATTAAGCAATCAGTGATTCCACACGCCTTCACATATCCCCAAAGCTAGTGCACAATATTTAGATTCAACACTACTTCTTGACAGCCACAACTATTTGTGTTTTGATCCTCCATGTCACTAGGTCACCCCAAACATATGAGTAATCTAGACAAATTTCTTCAATCTGTTGATTTACCAGCCTAGTTGGCATCATTGTGTATCTCAATATTTTGATTTGATGATCTTCTGAAAATCAGCCTATGTTCTGGAGTCATTTTTAAGATACCTTAGTATTCTGTGCCCGACATCTAAATGATATTGAATTGGATTGTTCAAGAATTGACTTACTAAATGAAGCGAAAAAGGAATGTCTGGTCTAGTGTGTGATAACAGGTAGATCAATTTTCCCACAAGTCGTTGGTAGTCAACGTACCTTCCTTTTACTTCGGGAGTGGATTCTTCAAGTTGGGTTAAACAACGTATGATTAGTTTCACATTGATGGTAGCCACTTTTAACAAATGATTTTGCAAATCTATCAAACCAGGGCATGCGAAGACTATTTTAGGCCATAGAATGACTTTCTTAGTTGCAAACTAGATGACTATTCAGTTTGTTTTCCAGTCTTGGCGGAATCTGCATATACGATTCCTCTTTGGGATCTCCATTGAGGAATGCATTTTTGGGATGATGCAATCTTCTACTAATTTCTTAATCAATCATAAGCCCTCTACTCTTTTAACTTGAGTTCTTTAATCAACCTTCTGCCGTCTATTTTTTTGAAAATGGAATATCTTGAAGTGTCTTATTTTTTAGCACCGCCTCTTTTCCATGTTCTTTGTAAGATTTATTGTTGCATGGTCATGTATGTATTCCCATCTATGTTTAATCAAACATGGTGCTAGCACATACTATTGTAACTTTGTTGGGTACTTCGGGGTGGGTCACAAATGGGGCTGTCTATGATATTCTTCTAATCTCTTGGAAGTGTTATTTTCGGCTGGTTTTACTTCCCTTGAGTCAATCTTTCATTTTTATGCTCAAATCTAGTTGGGTAGAGAAGTATTGATGCGTTTCTTCTCATTAATTGAATAGTACATGTATAATTCTCATACAGCTCTTTATTGTCAGGTAGATGTTTCGACCATCAATGTAGAGACAAAGCTGACCGGATGTGGACCATGGAGTCTTAGTGATGATATCCAGCTTATACACACCCCAGGCCACACAGAAGTGCGTAGATAAGTTAACTTATTTCATTTTGACCATACAATTATCATGGGTACATTATTGATTAGGTAATTCGGGGTAATGTATATGACCATTCTCCAAATCCTGGCTTGAAGTTGTTTGGTATTCCTTTTTTCTTTTGTTATCCAAAGTTTTCTATGAACGAAGTGAAATTTGGGGTGAAAGAATTTTAGACAACCAAATTCTAATCTGCTGACATTGAGAATGATCTTGCCTTTGATAGATAATTTCTGAAAGAGATGGTATTCCTTTCATTGTTGCAATACATAAACAATCAATGCTTTATCTGCACTGTCAATGTAATGGCAGGGGTCGGTCTGCTTGTTTTACAAGCCCTTAAAAGTACTTTTCACGGGAGATCATCTGGCAATTGAGGAATCTTTGTTGGACATTGCTGAGCAGTACAATAAAGATTCAGGTATAGCTATTTAATCTTCAAAAGTTTTAAATTGAACAAAGAAGTGCTTCAATTTGGTTAAGAAGAAACAGGAAACTCGGAACAGTGTATTTGTTTTTCTTTTTAATGTTGTTATACACCTTCTACTTAGCCAAAAATGCCAATGCAGTTGTTTCTCTAAAATTTTGCTCTTAATGCTCAAGTCAATGGGGTGATGTGGATGGAGATAAAAAGGATAGCTACAACCACCACTATTACTAAAAGAGTGAGAAAAAGGATCTGGAAAAAGGAAGGTGATATATAAGCCAAACGAACCCGATATACTCAATCCATAGGTGGGGTTGATGTATGCAGACTTGACATTTACCCGTACGGGTAAAACGGTTGTTTTTGTGAAGACCAATGTGCGGAAACGGAGAAAGTTTGCAGCAAAAAGAATCTCGCACAAGAAAAGCGAGTTAGAAACAAGCAACAACAAAAACCACACACCCTTGAGTCCAACGGCTCACTAACACTACCCCACTCCCTCTACCTCTCCAGCTCCCATCTACGCTAGCTACAAATCTCCACCTCTAGTCTGCTACCATAATCTTGCATCTCAAATTACTCCTATGAGAGGTCAATGTCCTCAGAAATGTCTAAGGCCACCATGTCCAACCTCAGTTGCTCCTCCCATGTCCTCCTTGGCTTACCCCCTCCTTGCCTCCTCGACAATCACACTTTCCTCTCTTCTCGCCAGAGTCGCCATTTGTCTTCTATGAAGCCAAACCACTGTAATATTCCCTCTCTCAACCTATCTTTGATGTGCACAACTTCCAACCCCACCCGGAAGACCTCATTTGGTATCCAGTTAATCCTTGTCCAACCACAGGTCCATGTAAGCATCTTTATTTTTGTAACTTCCAACTTCTTCTCATGGGCCTTCCTTTCACACAATTCTCCAACCCATACAACATAGTTGGTCTAACGGCTACCATGTAGAATCTTCTCCAGTTTTAGGGGGACCTTCTTGTCACAGCATCTCTGTGGCAGCCCTTCACTTTAGCCGCTCTATCTTTATGCGATGTCTTATATCATCCCCGGCCTCATCCCCTTTGAACCATAGAGCCTAGATACTTGAAACTATCCTTTTTGGGTATATATGAAGTAAATTGATACCTATAATGTAACTGAAACACAAATGGTAATGGTATAAGATCTTGAGACCCGACTTGTTGACTAACATTCTTTAAACTTTTTTAGTATAAAAAGATCTATAAATTTTGCAACTTAATGCTAAAGATATACTTTTTCTGGCATTAATGTTCTGAAATTCTGGACAGTTAATGTGGAATAATATCGATTGCCATCATGTAAAAAGCCAGTCGGTTCAGTAATACATTTGTATCAGTACAATAATCAACATTTAAGGTGATATAACCAGCTCTTTCAGTTTGATTGCTACTTGAAAGTAGTTACTCTCCCTGTGGTGCATTAGCATGCAACACCGTGGAGCTTGCCAAGTGCAAGCGGTTTTATGATCACTGATCAATGTGAACCTTCTTTGATAATTTTCCTGTTAATATTTTGTAATCCGATGATTTTGTGTCCAAATTGCAGTGTCTATACAGTTGGATAGTGTCGCCATGTTGCTTGAGCTGGAGTTCGAGTGGATGTTACCAGGTAGGTCTATTTTTATTTCTACTTAGTAATTAATAGTACTCCTTTTAAAGAAAAAGAAAGGGTAGTATGTTTGGTAATCTTTTATATGAGACATATGGCACAGGACTCGCTAAGCAAAACTACACTAGACTAGTATATCCACTTGGAGGTGAGGTATGGGCGGTGGGATGTATGCAGATCTGACCATTACTCCAAATAGTAGAGCAGTTGTTCTTGTGTAGACCCAAAACTTTCTAAAAAGTGCGCGAGAAAAAGAAATTTAAGCAGATAGTTTCAGAAAGCTTGTAATATTGGGCTGGTTTGGTTGGGCTTTGTTTAGTGGGTCCTAGGCCTCTGCGTGTTGCATTATGGGACCTTCTTCTCGTATAGGAGTTGTCTTTAGAGCCCGGGCCACAACCATCATGTGGAGTGTGCAGCTGTAATATAATGATGGAGGTTTGCAAGCAGAACTTTATCGAGATGCATTGCGCTAGCTTCCTTCGTCTTAATTAGTTTACTTGTCATTATAAAACAATGAAATACTACACAAATTTTGAAAATGTAGAAGTTTTGTAGGGTATAGGTGATGTCTGTGTACATCTGACCCCCATACCTCATCTCCGGATGGGATATACCGGCTCGTTTGTTTTGGTTTTAGAAGTTCATTACTCCCTCCGTCCCAAAATAATTGTCTACATTTCTATTTTAGTTTGTCCCAAAATAAATATCCACTTTCAAAAGTAATTACTTTCCCTTTCTATCCTTAATTATGAGATTGGAGAAAATTTGTTTATCTATTATTAAAGGTAAATTGTATTGTAGTTAGTTAAAAAGTGTAATGTTTACATCTTCCTAAAGCTGGTGTCTTTTTCATTATTGACATTTATTTTTGGGACAGTTATGTGCTTGTGTATATGCTAAAGGGTATTCCAATGTCCTCCCGACGATTAACCACATATAGATTGGTCATTGTATCTGTTTCTTCGCTCAAGTTTGATCCAACTTCATGTATAAAGTATGTGGGCCATATATATTGTTTTGGGTCATATATTATATGGCTACCTAAAACCAAACGAACCCAGTATATCCTCACTCATAGGTCACATGTGTACAGACCTGACCTCCACCCCAAATAGTAGAGCGGTTGTTTCATGTAAAAAATGGAGGACAGTTTAAACTTGTAAATGAATCGAAATAATGAAGAGATGATTGGGAGGAAGAGTGATGGGGTTGGGTTAATACATGTTATTGGCAGGTCATGGAAGGAAAGCTGTATACAAGGATGTTGAAGAGAAGAATTCCAGCCTCAAAGCCTTCTTGGCTGCTAAACGGCATACCGGCTATTTCTAGTAGCCACGGCCGACTAAGGTATTGTAAGCTTTGTTCGTGATCTCGTTAATTTGAATTTATGTCGTAAGCCCATTCTAAATTCCAAAGGCTCGGCCTTGGTGAAAAGAGGATTTGAGAAAACTCGACTCTGGATTACTCTTGGTGATTAAAACATTCAAAGTTGAATTTCGATCATGTAGAATTCAATCTTGCCGTGTAATATTAAAGTCGGGTGGGGTTCGTATGTGTGGTGTTTAAATTTGAGAGTTACTCTTGAGGTTCTAAATGGTGTGAGACGTGATATTGATGGCGGTACCGACCCTCGAGCTTAGGAGCCATAGCGACTAGCGAGGTTGGGCTTTTTTAAGGCGTGTTTTATGCTGGAAAATATTAATATCATATATAACCATATGTTTTTTTTATTATTACTCAATGAGTCAATGTTACTAAACAATTTAATTTAGGTTATATATATATATATATTAAAAACTAACAACTGATGCATTGAGAAGGTAAGAGATCAAATATCGCGTTACAAAAACTATGCATTATGTTACGGCGCGCTACAAGTTTAACGTGGCGTCAGACACAGGTCTTAAGCAACAACAACTATTGTGGCGAGTCTTTTAGAACACTGATTATCGTGATTTTACATTTAAAATTTGTATTAGCGTCGTTAAAATTTTAAAAATCACTGTTTTATAATTATTTTTAAGATCAATTGTATTATTATCATACTACAAGTATATATATATTTTTAAAATGATTGTAAGAAGTAATTCAAAATTCACTCATTGAAACTGTTCACCGTTGGTAAAGTTCAGTTTTATGTCTCAAAATACAGAATTTTGAAACTTTAGGTGCCGTTTACCAAACGCTTGTCCGGGTAAGCGCTTACCAAGTCACTTTACTTTAACGGATGAATATGGCAAGAGCTAATAATTTTACCTGTTAGAGCGAAAATAAAAATTGAGAGTCTTACCCAGTAAGTGAAGACGAATAATTTTCAATTACAAAAATCGGTTAGTAATTTTCAATTACAATAATACAAGGTTGGCAGGTATTTCATGTAATAAGCGTGATATGCATCGTATCGCCAATAAATAAGGGCATGCATATTGCATCCTCCAACTTCCAAACAAATCTCGTTTGCATAAAAAACCAAGATTCGGTTTGTAATATTTGAATATGAATTTCAGTCGGATAGATTTTCAAAATGATGATTCGAAATTTGACACATTCTATAAACAAAATGAGTATAAAAAACATCAAAATCTACATTTTAGTTTCAAATCAATAATGTTGACTAACAAATTTTGCATAAAATTAAGAAAAATGAATTATTCTTCTAAATATCATTTTAAAATTTTATTTGATAAATAAGTAAATATCAGTAACTTTTGTAGATGGATGTTTTTTTAACCACTAGAAGGGTACCTATGCAATGCAACGAGATACATTTTGATTTTAATATTTCATTTTATTCTTTATCTTAGTCGATGTTACAGTATGGTCTTATTTGATTTTGAAAAAACGATGATGTTTTTATTTCTGGATAAATATAAATTTGAAGACTTCATAAAAATTTGACAAATATATATCGATGTTAGTATCAAATTAACTATTTAAAATTCCTACTTTTTGTGTAACTTTTTAGTTCAATATTTTTTATTATAATTCGAAGTAATTTATATTTGGTTTAATAATATAGTTTTTTTTATAAAGATAACAATTAATTATTTTGTTAGAACTCGATAATTATCTTAATTATATTTTAGATTTTTTACATTTTAAAATGAGATGTTTATCCTCTATTTGATCATGTTTATCCGCAGTTAGTTACACGAATTCAAACATGGAGCTTTAACAAGTTGTACTTATGCATAATTTACTTGTAATCTTGAATTTTAAGTAATATGCATTAATATACAGTACTTTATGCATAAAAATTTATTTTTAAGAGTTTTTGTCAAATGTTTTATAATATAGTATAGATATAGATAGGATGACAATACATGTCATCACCAACAAACCTCATCTATCAACATTATGTATTCTGACCAAATGATCTTTGACCTAACGGTATCGTAGCCTTTGCTTCTTAGGAGGTCAGAGATTCAAACATCACTAAATGTGAGAATGGTGTATGAGTTTATTTATTGCATTTGACGTATGGTTAAAATCAAATGAAATTAAACTACATCAATATACCTTCCATAGAGGTAGGTCTTGGAGAGAACATAGATAAGATGTATGCAGATTTTACATCTACCTTAACAGATAAATATACAAATAGAGATGTTGTTTATGTGAATACATATAGCTTGCAAAACAAAAATACAAGGGACTAAACGAGACGAGTAACAAAAAATGTGTGCAAAGTAGTAAACAGAAAAGAGAACATTCAAGCTAAAACCATAAAGTAGGATAACAAAAACTAGACGAGTAAACCACAAGGGTGGTGCCTGATTGGTTTGAACTTGACTCCAAATGTCAAAAGTACTAGAAGATCTCAGGTTCAAATCCAAGGAAGAATAAAAATCTCTTTGTGGCCACGGAGGTTCAAATGCGGTGACTGCAAAGCAGGTGGTCGTCCTGAGATTAAGCGGCTCGCATAGCGGGTTGGATATCCAGGTTAATTAAAAAAACTAGACGAGTAAAGAACCAATCCTGAAAAACTAATAGAACTCGATATAACGTATGGTTGTAGCAATGTAAAGAACGTAGGTGTCGCGTATCCACCCCTCGTCCTTGTCCGACTCCCCCATTCCTCTACCTAAATAACCTAAGCTACATATGGTATGCTATTTTATTCAAGCGTTTTCTAAATGGTCCTATCAGATGTTGTATTCTCGAAAATTATTTCAATGTAATGTTTCAAACTGTTAGAAACATAATTAGGATAATCATTTGTTGTGAACCAGTAATATTTTATTAATTTTATACTTCAATAATTAACTTTTGAGTAAACTACAAATTTAGTCCTTGTGATTTGTCGATTATAACGGTTTTGTTCCTACAGTTATGAAACTACAGATTGGCTGGTTTGTAACAGAAACATGGTATTACTCCCTTCCTCTAACGGTCCTTTAAAAACCCATTAATTGTGGGGCATTTTAGTGTTGTTTTTCCACTTCTATGCCAATTTGGTCATGCCCCGATCATCCACTTTGGTCACCTTCTCCTACTACCGACCAACATTTCAACCACCAACACAAAAAGAGAACCACCATCCACCATCATTCACATAAAACGAAAGCAAATCTCCTCGAGAGTCGGAAGCATTGACCATTAATAACTCAAAATAACAACGGATAAACCAACCATTTAAAAAAAAAAAATTAATACGAACATCAAGAACCCTAAATCAAGATACAAACTCAAAACTCAAAACCTAAATATTCCAAGTCAAACCTCCAACACTAAATCAAGAAATGAGGTTTCGATTTACAAAGAGAGGTTGAGGAGGGGGGGGGGGGCATTTGTCGGAGGAGGGACATTTATAAGAGGTCCTTTGGGGCGTTAGAGTAACAGGGATGAGGGGGCTCCAGAAGATCAAGTTCCCCGAGGAAGTTTGCGAGAGGGTTGTTGTGTCTCCGGATAGTGTCGGAGTTGCAAGGATGAGGATGAGCCATAAGATTGAGTTCATCATCGAGAAAGATGAGTTCATTGAAGAGGGCGCTCGAAGATCAAGTTCAACCTTGTATATATTATAATAATTATACAATATAAATTATATATTAGTATATACAGATGTAGATATATAAAATTATGCATTTTTTATTTGCATCAAAAAATTTAAAAAAAATTGAAATATGTCATTATTTGGAACACGACGGTACGTTGGTGGCAACGATGACAGCTGTGGTGAATACGACAGTAGTGGTGGTAATGACGACGACGATGGTGAGGGTGAAGGCAACAATGGTAATGATGGTGTTGACTACGGTGACAATAATGGCAACCATCATGGTAGGACAGAATGAAATGAAGTAAATATAAGAGCAAAATAGTTTTTATTTTATTTTATTTTAAAAGTGAGATGAAAAAAATTAAAATTCCTTGTAGAACCCAAAGAATTTACACTCCACCAGAGGTGGAATTCATATTACTTATCAAAACTCAAAAAATGAACCAAACACATGAATAAAATTTGATTAATGAAATTGGCCATTCCAATTCCTTCAAATTTCGTTGGATTCCATAAAACCAATCGTCACAATTAGGGGTGCTCAAAAACCCGACCAACTCGATCAACCCAATCCAACGTGAAATAACCTAACCCGAAGCAACTCGATGTCTAATCGAGTTGTAAAATTGTCAAACCGTAGATATTGAGTTATTATTATTTTAACCCAACGTAACCCGATGAACCCAATATCCTTTTATTTATTGGATTTAATATGATAGTTGAATTTATATTAATATATACATTAGACAATTAGACTATCATGTATGCTTTTCATATACACATATTTTCAATCTATTTATATCTTTATATATCTCATTCATATATATGTTCAGTTTCCGTGGACATATATATGTAAATTAAGAAAATTAACTGAATGTAACATACATAACAAATATAGATAAGTTGTATCAAATGGTTGATGATGAAAAAAAAATATAAGTAGAGAAATAACATATTCAAGGTTAGAAGAATATTTTAATATACCAAACTATCAACCCTACCAACCCGACAAACCCGTACGGGTTAGGTTAGGTTGAGTTAAGATTTTTCCAAACCACAATCATTGGATTGGGTTGTTTAAATGTGTTTAACCCGATCAACCCAACCTACAAACACCCGTAGTCACAATCCAAAAACTGTAAGGATAAAAACCGTCACAATCAAAAAACCATAGGGATCAAAATTGTAGTTTTTTCTTAATTTTTCTTATATTAGACTTGAATTTTCAAATTTAATTACAAAACTCGTTTGCCGTAAAAGTTAGGGTTATGTTATGCACGTGATGTTCCACACATGTGGTTCATCATCGCCGTCGTGTCACTCTTCCGAATCATCAACGTCGGTTAACATTTAACTAATCTTTCTCTACCCTCCTTCCAATTTTCTTCTCCACAGCCACCGCCATTTCCGCCGCCCCCAACCTCTCCATACCTGTTTCTTATTCATTACATACATCTCTTTCTCGCTCTTTGCCAAGATTTAGGTTTGGGAAGATGTTCTCCTATCGAGGGATTTCAAGGATTTCAAGAACAGCCAGCAGCTACAACCGTTGTCGATGGTTGTATTGCTCTACTCCGCATCAACAATTGTCTCCCTCCAGTCGTTTCAGGTCTTTCATGGAGTCTTCTAAAGAGGTAACCTTTTCAAAATCATTGGTTTTTGGTTCATAATAATCTACAGTGTTGTGTATTTTTATGGGGGCAGTGAATTGATAGCTGTCATTTGATACTTTTATAGATTTCCAAGTTACTGTTTTCTCGTGGATTTTTGGTGTAGTTTATCGTTTCTCCACGATCAAATTTTTTCACACGCGTTGACAGACTTTAAAGAAATGAAGTCGATTTTGTCACTTGAGAATTTTATTTTCTGGAATGGTTCCAAGGTTTTTTATATTAAATTAGGTGCAAAGGTTCCCTTTATTTTGCTTTTATGGAAGGAGATTTTGGGTATTGGCAAGTATTCATGACAATTTCATTGCATTCCAATTTTCCTGGGACCCATGAAGGATCATCGTTGGAGTTGTTTGACATAAGAATTAATATGTTGCTCTTACATGTGTTGATTGTCTTTTGGTCTATGTTACTTGATATGCGTGTGTAGATTAATTCTGTCATGGTATTGGGATTGACATTGGGGATAAGACGGGTTTAAGATCTTTTAGGGATGGCTTGAAACACATGGTGATGCATCAAGTCTGATGGAAAGGAGTAGCATAGAGATAGGCTTCAAGTCATGAGATCAATAAACTATCATGCGATGTTATGGCAACCATAAACTAGCTTATTTTTTGGGCTTATTGAAAAATCCCCGTGTAGTTAGCCATAAGCTAGGTTATTATAGACTCAAGTTACCTCAAGTAGCGTTTCAATAAGCTACATGGTATTTTCTTCACTTTTTTTGATTTATGCCCCTTATATTTTCAAATTAGTCTTTCAGCATGTGTTTTTAGGTCTTTTTACATTGTCATCTAGCTTATCATCCTGTTTTAACAGACATGACTAGTTTATTAGCCAACAACTAGCTTATCAACTAGTTTGCCGAACATAACCTTACTGAAATGTTTAATATGTATATCAGCCTCATATACAAAATGTCTGAAGCACGTGAGATGCTTTTAGCAATCAGATTGCTTTTAGGTTCTAGTAATATAGTGGTTTAGAAGGATTATATGGGATATAGCCAGGTTTTATTTACTGGCAGTCATGACAGGAGAAGTAAGAGATCTCATTAGAGTTTAAAGACCAACTTATATGATATGTTATGGATGTGTTTACCAAATTTATTGCTCTCTGTCTTTGACAAGTTGAAATAATCCAATTTTCTGTTTTTTTGGGATGTCTCAAAAGGAACCACAATAAATTTCTTTTTGGAATGTATCTATGATCACCATAAATCATTCTAGAATTGATTTTAGTCAATGAGACTCCTCTATTTTGTTATTGAGTGGCATTCTAGATATTTGACTGAAGGTCATACGTTTTCATCAAATATGTGTGCATTCAAATGTTGTATTTGTTTTGTTATGGAGGGGTTGCTGTGCTTCAAAGTTGAGGGGTCTTCTTATGCAGCGCTATCTCTGAATGGATGTTTTTACGTTATACCCCCACAACAAATAAGAAAATAATATACAAATAACATGCCTAATTGATTGCTTAGTTCAAATGACACTCAAATGGTCAATTGGGAGCAAGAACTTTGAGGAACATTTATTTTCTGCGCAGGAGAGTTGTTTTCAATTGATTGTTATAGTAAGATAGTCTTACTAACATGCCAAGGAGCCACCTTTGTGAGCCTTTAACAAGAGGTTTAAGACTTGTAAGTGAAAAGAAGGGGAAATTAAAAGGAAGTAGCATATCAGATGTCTCAAAGACCATTCACCATATGATGTAGCAACTGCAGCATGCCATTTTTTGTATTTGTATATGTGTTGTTTTGTTATAAATGAATCATTCTAGTTACTTCACCATTCCTTTGATCTTATTATGAATTGTTCTGATATTCTTTTCTGGTACTTGTTTCTAGTGCTGTTTGTTTCATGGTTTTTATGTATATCTTGTTATTGTTTTCGGTAATTAGTAGGTTTTGGGTTGCAGAGTAAATTATTCCTGGATTTCGCGCCCCTTCAGTTCTGGTGGACCACAACCCCAGTATCAAAGATCTTCAGTTGAGGTAAGTGCAATTTTGGATATTCTCCTCCCTTATTATTTGCTCTTCAACAAACTTCATTTGCTTTGTTGACATTCATTTGTAATCTATGTTGTGAACTATCTCCATTTCAGTTTATATTTTACAGCAGTTATCAAAAACTGATTGTTGCTATCCGAAGAAATGGGAATAACCTTCCTAAACTTGTACTTGTTGTATCTCTGCTTATAATTCAATGTCCAATAAGCAGAATAACCTTCCTTTGGGTTAGTTTTCACTCAAATCGGTCTAGGTGTTCTGTTTTCTTTAATTTGTGTGTATTTCTCACACCAAAAGGCAATCATTGTTATATATCATTTCTCTCTTGGAATCTGGCAACCAACATAAGACCAAGGTTGCATTGGTTGTTCTTTTGCAGCATTTATTTTGAAACTTCTCGATGTAGTAGTCGGGATGGTGATTTAGCTGTTGCTTATTTAAATTTGAAAACAAATTTATAGATTGCAAGATAATTAGATAAGGTTCAACTAAGTAGGCTTCACTTATCAAACATGTTCATTAATTGTTAGATTGGGCATCTAGGTGAAATTCTAGAGTGATGAAATAAAAAAAACATGATGATATTGTCTTCTTATCCTGTATATAGTTTGTAGTGTGCTGCTATCGTTACATGTATGGTTCATTATTATCTCTTCTGTTGATAAAGTGGATTTCAATGCAAATACCTCTTCTCTTGCCACATTGTGCATTCTCTTCTCTAGTTTACCTGCTACAAATTTGCAAGTTTTGTTTTTGCATTTCTTAATGTTTCCTTCTTTTGATACAGGATCAAGTGGACCCTTTTTCTCTCGTTGCTGATGAACTGTCGATTGTTGCTAATAGATTGCGATCAATGGTTGTCGCTGAGGTATGGCTGTAGTAGCTACTTGTTATCAAATATGACTGCAACTATTTCATTCTGGGTATGCTTGAAAGTAACTACTTTAAATGTGCACTCTTGCAGGTGCCAAAGCTTGCCTCAGCAGCCGAGTATTTCTTTAAGATGGGCGTTGAAGGGAAGAGGTTCCGTCCCACTGTAAGTTTATTGCTTCCAGTTCTTTGATGTTTGAGATCCTTACTACGAATTGTATTTTCTATCTTAGAATTGTGACATTCGTGTGCATAACATTGAGATATTACAGTCTCAAAGGGAAAGAACTGTTATCTTGTTGGCAGTAAATTGTTTACTCTACTTTTCAGTAAGGACAAATTGTATGAAAATGCGACATACTTTTATCTGATTCATATTTTACATAACGCACTTTCAAAACTTCCATTTTGGTATATCAGATGTGACATCTGAAACATTTAGGTACCAACTTTACACATGAGAATGTATGAAAATATATTCTCTTTGGCCCAATTCTTATGTTGTGTAATGTACTTCGGTCTAAAAATGTTTGAGATATCACATCTAGGTAGGTACATTGCATTATCATGCAATTGCCTTCTCAATATGAACACAAATTTTCACAGTTGAACGTTTTGCTCTCTTTCCAGCATATGATGTATGCTGTATTTCATTGGTGTTCACATGTTAACATCTAATTTATTTGAAGTAGGAATAGAGCTAGAGGCATGCTAGAATTCTCCCCCTTGTGCTTTGTTAACCATCTGCTGATTGATCTACAATTTATTAAGTTTTAACAGGATGTCAATTTTCATACTTACCATCATCTGAAAATTATCGTTTCTCTTGGATATTAGGGAGCGGAGTGCTATGGTAACAATGTAAACAGATGCATGCATATCTTTGCTTTCTCACTTGCGATCATGTTATTGTGCTCAAAATATTGACATTATATTATCTTTTGCAGGTTATTTTATTGATGGCAACAGCTTTAAATATTCAAATCTCTAAACCGGCTTCAGAAAACGTTGTTGATATGTTCTCCACAGATTTGCGCTTGAGACAACAATCTATTGCTGAAATCACAGAGATGATTCATGTTAGGTTTCTTTAAATATTATTTTACATAGGCTACCTGCTTTTTATGACAAACAGACCATGTTAGTGCACGGAATTGGTACAAATCACAGGAGTAAGGAAAAGGAGAAAAGAGAGAATAAGAAGAACAAAGACCAAATAATAAGCAACAGAAGAAAAGGAAATTTTTAAGAAAAGGTGTAGCATACATATATCTTCTATGGGTTTCTTGCATCCTAAAAAATGAATTTCTTTTTTCTTTTAGATGAAACGATGTTAGAAAAATATCTCTGAAGCTGTGAGTTATGTTGTGGAAACTGCAGTGCATATCGTTATGCATAAATGCAAGATTTTAAAGTAAGTGCTATGGAGGTAGTATAGCTTGCAATTGAAGAGGAAAATAGAAAAAACACTGCAAAACAGTATTGAGCTTTTTTTCAAAATTCAAAGTTTACTAGATTTCAAGTCTTAAATAGGGTACTGGAGTAATAGTCTTTTTAATGGACGAAAAATGGCAAAGGATAGAACTGCCATAGAATGGATTAGAATACTGTGTGGGGTGATTATTGGTCTGGAGAGATGTCGAGTTGTAGGGAAAAACACAGCTGGTGTGCTTTTTATATTGAAATTTAGACAGTCCCTTTAGCTGATGTCAGTATGTGTTTCTAAATTTATGGTAGTTATAGAAACCCTTTTTCCTCTTCCATTTTTTGAAGCGAATGTTGAGGCCTTGTGATTCTTCTTTTTGAAATTATAGAAGAAACCCTTATTCCCCTTTTGATTTTGTCAAAGTGAATGTTGTGGCTTTCTAATTCTTTGTTCCAAATTTCTTTTCATAGTTTCTCCTTTTTTTGTCCTTTTTGTACTCATGGAAGTTTTTATGCTTTACAAACAATTTGTACTTGACAGAATCCAAATACGAGACAACTTTTTTAGACACTGTTGCACCATGTACTATTTGTTGTTTTCTGTTACTGTTTGGAAATACGATCGTTGAAGAACAATGGATATGTTTCATTTACCTGAAGATTATTGGTTGGAACCAAATATAATAGGATGCTTATATTATCCTTAAGCTCACAACATGTTTATTTCAAAAGCTTATAATTACAAAGCATCATGCTGTAGCACAAGGGTCTTTTTCCTACATCCCATTGTTGGGCATGTGTTATACTGTTTCAAAGAAGGATAATTTCTTTGTTTATCATTAGAAAGTAAAGTACTTGCTTATCAATGCTGTAGAAAGATAATAACCTTCTCCTTTTAGGTTGCCAGCCTCCTTCATGATGATGTACTGGATGATGCTGATACAAGACGTGGGATTGGCTCTCTTAACTTCGTAATGGGAAATAAGGTGACATTTCTTCTTCAAATAAACAATATAAGTATGTTGTTGCCATATATCTCTGAAAAAGCCCTAAGAATCATCATAATATTTATTGAATGTGAATGCTAGAATACCAGACAAACAGAAAATGTACCTACTTTCAAGATGTAGGCACCCTCCAAGATGCTCAATTCACACACTATATTGTTTATGTTCAAATTCAGTATATGTTTTTCTCCTAACTCGTTGTAGACTAATTTTTATTATGGTAATAATATAGTTGCTGTAATTTCATAATACTGTTGCCATGCATTTTGGCTAGCTATATTTCCATGATACGGTTGCTGTAGTTACGGCTAATAATAACTGTGATTGTGCTTGAAATAGACCAGCATGGCCTTAGGCCCATGCACTGATCTGATCTCATGTTACTGCCTTTCAATGAGACACCTTCCCCATAAGGAAATTATTGTTGTATGAGTGGGAATAATTTCAACGTGGCCTCATGCTTCGATAAGTTCTTCCAACTGAACAATCTTTCATCTCCAATCGGGCCGTTAATGTGGAAATAACAGTCCGCTCATCTTAGCAACCTCTGCACATCCTCTCCCTAAAAATTGGCATTTCCAACTTTCGAGTCGGAAAATTCCCCCTTTGTGATTGTGTCTATTCCAAATTCTCCTCTCGTATATCTTCTCGTCATGAGGGTCAAAATTGTAGTCTTTTACTCACTTAACTTGTGGACCCCTTGAAATATGTCATCCTTGCCAAATCTTTGGCTTTGTTCTACCGCTTTGGGCCTCATGGATCAAATGAAAAGCTTTCCCTCTTGGGCCTTCCCTTATCCCTGCTGGCCCATTATTCCGTCTCTCTCCGCCTTCTCATGCGGACAAAAGATAGGCCTTTCTTCCAGCCCATAAATAAGTCTTCATCCAAAATTGGGCCTACCCTGAGGCCCACAAAGGACACAACACTCTCCCTCCATAACAGCCTTTCTTTCTCTTCCATGTCTCTCCATGATACTTTTCATCCCCGCTCTTGACCCCATGCAGCCAGACTTTTTCACCTCGTTTCTCCCTGTTATCTCCCCATGTGCCCCCAGCGCCTTTCGCTGAAAACCACCATGGCCTCTGTTGCTGCCCCACCTTCTCTCTTGCTTAAATCACGATCACCCATATCCTGGTCCCTGCTCCCAATCATTGTCTAGGTTGGCTGTCAGCATTGCCGCCATCTAGGGCATGACTCGGCCACCCTGGCTTTGCTCCCCCTTCGCTTTCCATTCCCACTCCCTTCCCTTTCTCTCAGGTTTTGCTTTTCTCACCAGTTTCCCCTTCATCCATCATTGTTGCAGGTGGCGTCCTTTGTGTAGTATGCGTATATATTCAGCATCAGCTTCATGGACAAGAATCCAGCTTCAACCTTTTTCTTCATCCCTGAACTTTCTCCACCATGGTTGACCGAACTTCCTCATCCTCTTATCTCTAGTTTTTTGAATTCTTCATTCTTCTAGGCTGCCATGACCCAGAAGCAGCCTTTGATACCAATTTGATTGGGACCAGAAGAAGATCTATTGGATACAGATGCACAAATACCAAATGAACGGAAAATATACCTACTCTCTAGAGGTAGGTTCTCCATAAGAATTGTTTTCCTATCGTCTATTATCAAATTCAGCATACGTTCTTCTCCCAGCTCCTTATTATGAACTAATTCTATTATGTTAGTAATATAGTTCCTATATTACCCTAATATGGTTGGCATATCTTGTGTCTAATTATTCCTGTGATTGTGCCTGGAAAGCGTGACACCATGTCTAACAGTCGACGACTTAATAGAGTTCACTAATAATGTACTTTTGGTTTTTGGTTCAACTAAATGAGGCAGCTTGGATTGTTTAGCGGCATGGGCTTTAACTTTGATGCATTTACTTTTTCCTCACACCAACTAGTATACTCTACCCACTTCTCTCTTGTAAGACTTGAACCCCGTGCCTGACCGTGAAGTTTTGATGTTTGGGTTGATACAATATCATGTGATGCATCTACATATTCACAATTGGTTATTCTCAGAAGAAAATGTTGCTTGTATTAGTATTTTACTCAGTATGGGAATATTTGCATGAGCAATTAATGATGCATATCAACCAGACTGCCTTCATTACCACTGAAATACTACTGCTCTTTTCATGATGCAGCTTGCAGTATTGGCTGGAGATTTCTTGCTTTCTAGAGCTTGTATCACACTTGCCTCTTTAAAAAACACAGAGGTATCCATTTATTTATGTCTTTATGCATGCGACTTCCTTGCATCTTCTAACATGGTTGTTTACAAATGTTCATTGTATTCCACTGTTGGTTGCAGGTTGTRTCACTAATAGCAACAGCAGTAGAGCATCTTGTTACTGGGGAGACGATGCAAATGAGCACATCAGCAGAGCAGCGTAGTAGGTATGCTACTTCTCTTGGTGGTGTAATCTGCATTGGAGAGTTTAATCCATTACAACAAAATGGGTCTTATAGGATGCACCACCATCCTTGGGCGTCCTAACAGAGTACTTAACTACACTTTAAGTTCATAGGACCAGAAACTGTGTGCTCTATCTGAAGGTGTTACAATAAGTTTATAGGACAAAGTAAAGCAACTTGACAAATTATATGGATGAAGTTGGGGAAACTAATATGACATAAGAAGTAAATTGCCCTATTAGCTTTTTATAGGACACTGTTGAAAGGTGCCTAAACTTGTTAGGTGTCCTATATAACAACTTATTGTAACGTCCGAGATAGGACTCTCAACTTTGGTTCTATGAACTTAAAGTCTTGAATACTCTATTAGGACGTCTGTGTGTCTTAAAAGGTACATTTTGTTGGTGGTGAGTGTAATATTGCTGTCTAGGCATGAAGTGGAGGTAGAAGATCGTAAACATTCCAGCCTCGTATCCATATCTTATCAAATACCTTTGTGATCGTTGATGGACTGTTTCACAATGTTAGTGAAATTGCCCTATTAGATTTTTATAGGACACTGTTGAAAGGTGCCTAAACTTGTTAGGTGGCCTATATAACAACTTATTGTAACGCCTGAGATAGGACGCTGAACTTTAGTTCTATGAACTTAAAGTCTTGAAATACTCTATTAGGACGTCTGTGCGTCTTAAATGGCAGATTTTGTTGGTGGTGAGTGTAATATCGCTGTCTAGGCATGAAGTGAAGGTAGAAGATCGTAAACATTCCAGCCTTATATTCATATGTTGTCAAAGTTAATACCTTTGTGATCCTTGGACTGTTTCACAATGTTAGTGTTTAAGGTTGGACATAATTTTCTTGCAATTTTTCGGTTGATTAAATTTTTGCCATTGCAGTATGGATTATTATTTGCAGAAGACATACTACAAGACTGCATCTCTGATATCAAACAGCTGCAAGTCCATTGCCCTTCTTACTGGGCAAACTGCGGAGGTGTCTATGTTGGCATATGAGTACGGGAAAAATCTGGTCTGTAAGCATCAAGAATGTGGTTATCATATGTTACAGATAATTTTCCAAAGCATAACATGTGGTTCGTTTGGGAAAGCCATTTACCAAACGGACATGACTCATGAGTATAATTTTGAGTGACATTCATGCTTGTTTTCTTAAACGTAGAAGCAAATAATTTTTTTGAAATTCAATGAACTGATATTTTAATGTTATCAAGGGTCAATATGAATCACTTGCCAACAATGTGGTTAATGGTGATGCATTGTCTATTGGCATATWACTCGAACCGGCCAATATAATTGTAACTCTGACTCATCATCTCCTCTTTCCTGCAGGGTTTGGCGTTCCAGTTAATCGATGATGTTCTTGATTTCACAGGCACATCATCATCTCTTGGGAAGGGCGCATTATCTGATATTCGCCATGTAATCAACTCACTTCGTTGGCATATTCTTTTTGTGTTTAGAGGCATGATACGTTCCTTTGGGTAAAAAAAGCAAAACTTGCTTAACAGTCAGGAACCTATTATTACCAATTTAGATTGTTTCTGTTTCCTTTTACAGAACTATGGCTTTTGCTGCAGATTGTTTTATGTTCTGATATCATTTTTGCAGGGAATTGTCACAGCTCCAATATTATATGCAATGGAGGAGTTCCCAGAACTACGCTCAGTTGTTGACCAGGGATTAGACGACCCTGCCAATGTGGATCTTGTAAGTCTATGTCACTATGTGTAGCATACGATTGCTGGTCTTATATACAGTTGCTAATACTGCATAAACTGTATGCCCCAAACCCGAATATGTATGTATCTCTAGTTGAAAAATAACCCTTTTTGAGAAGTCGTATGAAAATTGCAAGCGTTTCCTTTTTTGGAGAGTTCTCCATCATTACAAAGAAATTGATGATATTGATTTGGGTTTGCAAGATTTCTTTATTTTGTTGGATATTTTGGTTACCAAGTCGAACTTTGCAATTTTCACGGGACTAGTATAAGGGTTGAGCATAGGTATAGATATAAGAATGCCAACATTTGATTCTCAATCTCGACAGTCAACAAGTAATATTCGTGATTGATTTTGGGTAATTGATACAGGCTCTTGAGTATCTTGGTAAAAGTCATGGAATACAAAGAACAAGGGAACTAGCAGCAAAGCATGCAAGCCTTGCATCGGCTGCAATTGATTCGCTGCCGGAAAACGATGATGAGGATGTTCAAAGATCAAGGCGGGCGCTTGTAGAATTGACGCACAGAGTTATTAATAGAACAAAATGAAGACGGAGATGAAGTTGGCCATAGTCTGAAGAAGATCGATCAATATAGATGGAAGATTTTGTTTCAGTAGAATACGACACATCCCAATGTTTGGATCTGAGTGTTCATTTTCTTGTTCAATAAATGATTACTGGCCAAGAAAATCGCTAATAGTTATACTTGGGTAAACACAATTGATTTCATAATGTCAAAAGTTTGGAATTCTTGCAGACTTCAAAGGTAAAATCTTACATCTTCTATGCCTTTAATGATGTTTACTAGATGAACCTGAGCAGCAACATCGGCCACTCGAGTCGATGAATACATGATCAAGAATTAGGACATATCAACTTCTTGTAAAATACAAACTGTCACCAGAATATCTTATTCAAACTGATATCTTTTACATTCGTAGAGGAGGGGACACAACTACAATAAACAGAAAAACAAACCGACACAACCCTTTAAAGACAACAATTGACACGATAAGGACATATCAGATAACTGTCAGACATAACTGCTTATATAAGACGTTTGGCTTATAACCAATAATATCATACTAATTTCACATAATGAATCACCCTTCTTCGTCAAGTGGATTAAGCGAACCTTTGTGAAAGATGGGTACATAAGTCGATCTATATAGACCAGCTATGAGTGGGAATTGTAGAGTAACAAAAAACAGAATGGGGAGGCAAGAAAGTCCACATATTGGACCAAGCATCCATGGGTTTTCACGACAAAAGAGAAGGTACAAGGTCGCACCGAAGGCTACCATCATGGAAGTTATA